ATGTTGACCAGCTTCTCGAAAGAAAAATAAAATTTCTAAGGAAGTCTGCAACGTCGCAAATGGAGAAACGTCGTCTCTCATTTTGCCCAAAAATATGTATGTATAAAATTGAAGGCATTATGACTGGCCTCTCTCAACTTATATTCGTCTGTAACGATAAACAATGGGACGCGTTTGCTACGGCGCCTTGATACAACTATACAACCTCGACGGATGTCCGTATTGCGTTCAAAAAATTGAAGGCGTTTTGACTCCCTGCTTATACTACCTGTAGTTGATTCGATCGACAGACGCGTTGGTCGGCGGTGACGAGGACTTGATGCAAGCATTTAAACTTGATGGATGTCCGTATCGCCCCGACTGAAGTGCGAAATCACGTATCTCCATTGCGGTGTTTCAAAATTTCCGTTCTTATTTCGTCTCTTCCATGAGAAACAATCCAAATTTACGACTTTAAAGTTTGAACCAAATCTTCTGCTATCGAATGCGAAAAATCAAGGAGAATTCAAGTTGTATGTTGACCAGCTTCTCGAAAGAAAAATAAAATTTCTTAGGAAGTCTGCAACGTCGCAAATGGAGAAACGTCGTCTCTCATTTTGCCCTAAAATATGTATGTATAAAATTGAAGGCATTATGACTGGCCTCTCTCAACTTATATTCGTCTGTAACGATAAACAATGGGACGCGTTTGCTACGGCGCCTTGATACAACTATACAACCTCGACGGATGTCCGTATTGCGTTCAAAAAATTGAAGGCGTTTTGACTCCCTGCTCATACTACCTGTATTTGATTAGATCGACAGACGCGTTGGTTCGCGGTGACGGGGACTTGATGCAACCATTTAAACTTGATGGATGTCCGTATCGCACCGACTGAAGTGCGAAACCACGTATCTCCATTGCGGTGTTTCAAAATTTCCGTTCTTATTTCGTCTCTTCCATGAGAAACAATCCAAATTTACGACTATAAATTTTGAACCAAATCTTCTGCTATCGATTGCGAAAAATCATGGAGAATTTAAGTTGTATGTAGACCAGCTTCTCGAAAGAAAAATAAAATTTCTGAGGAAGTCTGCAACGTCGCAAATGGAGAAACGTCGTCTCTCATTTTGCCCAAAAATATGTATGTATAAAATTGAAGGCATTATGACTGGCCTCTCTCAACTTATATTCGTCTGTAACGATAAACAATGGAACGCGTTTGCTACGGCGCCTTGATACAACTATACAACCTCGACGGATGTCCGTATTGCGTTCAAAAAATTGAAGGCGTTTTGACTCCCTGCTTATACTACCTGTAGTTGATTCGATCGACAGACGCGTTGGTCGGCGGTGACGAGGACTTGATGCAAGCATTTAAACTTGATTTATGTCCGTATCGCACCGACTGAAGTGCGAAACCAAAGTCTGTGAATTTAGCACTCCAACTTTTAAAATTTTAAATTTTCTATTTTGCTCATCATTGCTCATCATTTGCTCACCTCGAAAATCGCTTTCATTTTTTTTGCTGAGGCATGTACCCCCGAAAAATCGAACTTTAACTTTCAGATAGTTCATTGACCTTAGCATTCCCACCTTGTCCGGTTGACCTGAAAATGGTCTCAAACGACGCAGAATTATCACCTTTGCTCACCTTTCGCTCACCTTTGCTCAGACCTTAGTTTTTGTTGCCAGACCCCTGCCATCTTCTCCTTATAGAGCGTTACGCTTTTTATGAACGGCTTCTAATTAATTTTGAAACTTCCTTCACTCAATTTTCAAAAGCTTTTAACTACCAATGACAGGACAAAATACAGCATGACTTCTTTTGCGGACACATTGAATCCGTGGCATTTGTCATTAGAAATAAGGGATTTGACGAAAATAATTGAGCGTGAAATTTTCTGAATCTTCTCGACAAGAAAGTGTGACTTTTGACTTTGAAATGGATTGCATTTTGCAAAAAAGCACCTAGAGCATTCCAATGTTGCTAAGATTGTGAAACTTACATGCTTTGCAATGAAATTACTGAGAGCATGCAAAAAATTAAATCTGAAAAGGTAATTTTCGTTTTGAATTTATAGATTCTTTGGAGTGAAGATTAAACTGGTTAAGATGATCAGTTTATATTTGTAAGGTAAAAGAAGTTGCACAATCCTAGCGACATTGGAATACTCTCGATTCCTTTTTGCAAAATGCAATTCAAATATCAGGTCGAAATGTTGGCAATTTACCTCCTCGCATGTGAAGAATGTAAACTGAGGAAGAGATGGAGAAAATATGAGGAATAAGACAAAAATAAAAACAGCACTGCAATTTCAACACGACAACCGTGGAGTGTGTAAACTCCCTTCTCAAGTGACTCAAATAAACGCCGAACCAAAACTCATTAGCCTGAGGCATGTGAGGTATTTTTGTGCCTCTCCTGATAAATTCAACGAATGGCGACAGTTATTGCGGAAATAAATTTTCGCGAAGAAAAATTCCGTGGCGAAATTCCACAGCCCCCCTTCTAAGTTAGCAACTTGACACAGGAGGCGCCAATTTGAATCCGTTGCCAGGTCTTCATGGCGCAATTTATTGCTCACTTAACGACCGCAAGATTAACACTTATAGCTACCGGAGGTCGGTGAAAGCATTAATATCGAAACAAGGAGGAAACGCCAATGGCGATCCATCAGACAACTCTGCCGTGCTAAGGAAAAACGCTGTACGAGCCTTTAGACGTTGCCTGATCTCCTTTAATAGAAACCGAATTTACTGGAAAAATTGTTAATATTTTTTTCAAATTTTTTAGATACTTTTGTTCGCAATTCGATCTAAAACATCTGAAAATTCCACGGAAAAATAGGCAAAACTTTCCTAAGAAATACATGTTTTATCCGGAGAAATTTGGCAACTCTCGAATGTTCATACGGCGTTCTTCCTTAGCACGGTAAAACGGCTCCAGCGCCGAGGGGTGACGAATACTGACAAATCATACTACGGATCAGCTTAAGCCCCCCAAAATTACGACTTCTCCGTGTTTGTTACAGACTGCGTTACACTGGGCTGCAAAGCACGGGTCAGAGGATGTCGTCAAACTAATCGCTGGGACCTACAATGCTGATGTCAACGCAAGGACGGTGTGTATCTCTTTTGTCATCAAATGATTTGTTTTCACACTTTTACATAATTTCAGTGGCATCGCAGCTCAGAATGAAGCAATTTCCGCCAAGAAGTTACAGTACGGTCTCGATTATCCGCGATGATCAGGATCAGGGCTATCGCGAATAATCGGAGATCAAGGAGAACCGAAAACTCGATCATTTTTTCAGTAGCGTCAAAGCTCTGAAAGAAACATTTCTCACAAAATGAAATTACAGATGGGTCTCGATTATCCGCGGTGGTTAGGATCAGGGCTATCGCGGATAATCGAAGATCAAGGAGAACCGAAAACTCGATCATTTTTGCAGTAGCGTCAAAGCTCTGAAAGAAGCATTTCTCACAAAATGAAATTACAGATGGGTCTCGATTATCCGCGGTGGTTAGGATCAGGGCTATCGCGGATAATCGAAGATCAAGGAGAACCGAAAACTCGATCATTTTTGCAGTAGCGTAAAAGCTCAGAATGAAGCATTTCTCACAATGAAATTACAGATGGGTCTCGATTATCCGCGGTGATTGGGTCCGGGGCTCCTGCGGGTAATTCGAAACCCAGCCATTTGGTAAAGAAAAGTGATCAAGAAGGTTTCAATTTAAAAGACTATCGAACCACTTGTCAGGCCTTAGAGAGGAACGTAAGTAAAAAAAAAAAGTGTTGAAAAGTTGAAAAAAGTTGAAAATGCATAAATTTTACTTTATGAGAAGTTACTTTTGCCAAAATTAGCTACGTAATACATTTTTATTAGAAGCTTGTGCCTTGAGCCTCCGGGCCAAAAACCGTGGATAATCCAAATCGCGGATGGTCGCGACTCTACCATGTCTTTTGTTCTGAAATGTTTACCAATAGTCAGTCTGGAGTTGGCAAGCAGGCAGGTCTCAGAGATCGTTTTAGCTTTTTTTAGATTCTGACACCATTAAAATGCTTTAACTTTTTCATTCTTCACGAAAAAGTGTATTTTTGCTGACTTCGAATCTTTTCAAGAAGCTCTACTGTTTAAAAAAAACACTTTGCCTTTCAAAATGTTACGCTCATGTTTCTTTAATCCTTTTGTTCCATGTTTTTTCACCTCCGTCCGACTTCTTAACGGCACCTGGCAACAATTGAATAACCTGCAGAATGGGGTAAGTTCACGCATAATTATTCAAATAATCTTCTTTTTTTCTTGGTTTGCCAGTCAGGTTCTTGTTGAAAGACGATTCAAGTTTCGAAGTTATCAGGGCAAGTAATCCGTAAGTCGATTCCGGCGTCTTTTTAGGTTCTCCGGGAAATTTTAGGGTGTCACCTGAAAAATTCTACTGACTTCCGTGCTCTGTAATCTTTGTTACGTTATAGGTCAGAATGGTATAATACGCTTCGAGTGGCTTCAGTTAAATAAATTAAGCTGTTTCATATGTCACTTCACCAGAATTTAAGACGCCTCTTGAAACTTTTTTGATGTGGAGATGACGACTGTCATTTTCTTAACATTTCCTCAAGTATAAGTATATCGCGATGTATCTAGGAAGTTGCGAATCCCGGTCATTTCAATTCATGTCTGAAATTTCTGGCACTAGAAGAACATTTTTCAGAATTCAGAATATTTAAAACCCTAAAAAGTGTTGCTACAGCTTGCTTTTATTCTCAAATGCCCACCCTCCACTCGTGATGCTTTACTCGAATGGGTCGGAAAAAAATCTGTGGCTTAAAGCAGAAATTTTGGTTCTCAAGTCTGTGCCATTTAAAAGAGAAGTCCAGTAAAAATGTTTGAAGTTTCAGATTTGTGCTAGAGCGTCTTTTAGAATTAGTGACAGCTGTGAGAATGACGAGTCCTCTATATACTTCATCAACTTTCGCCGGGAAAAATATTTTTCACTCTTACGAATCTTCTAATTTTATCGCCGGAAATGATGAACGATTTGAAAGTATGTGTGTGAAATGCTATGCGATAAAGTTACGCACAATTATGTTATTTGACGCAAATCCATTGCAACTTCTCTAGAACTGCTGAGACTTATCACTTTTTGAACAAAATTTCTCACTTTGGCGATGTCATTTCTAACATTGTTTGCCTGTTTTTGAAAGTGCACCCTCTCCTGTTTCCTACAGTACCTGTTTACTACAGGTTCCTGAAAGTTCTTTAACTTTAAATTGTATTTTTACTTCTCTCTTGACACTATTAAACTCTATTTTTATCAAATTACTTTGTTTTGGTTTGTTTCAGGGCTACACTCCTTTGCACATTGCAATGCAGTTTGGCAATGAAGATATTTTTAATCTACTAGTGCAAGTATACGGTGAGTATATTGTTAAAATTATATCAGTGATTCTAATCAGCTTGAAAGCTTTTTGTGATTTTTAGAGACTTACAAATGTTTAAAATTGTTGTCGTTTCGACTTCGACGAAGGAAGGAAGGAAGGAAGGAAGGAAAGAAGGAAGGAACGAAGGAAGGTAGTAGTAGTAAAATAATTTTATTTTAAAGCGGTGCTTTAGCATCTAAGGTCATTTACACTTCGAAAGAAGGCAGTAACAGTAATTAATTTACATGGAAATATCAGTAAAAATACAAAAGGGTTGAGGGGAAAGGTTAAATTAAGGAAGGAAAGAAGGAAGGAAGGAAGGAAGGAAGGAAGGAAGGAAGGAAGGAAGGAAGGAATGAATGGAAGGAAGGAAGGAAGGAAGGAAGGTAGTAGTAGTAGTAAAATAATTTTATTTTAAAGCGGTGCTTTAGCATCTAAGGCCATTTACACCTCTAAAGAGGGCAGTAACAGTAATAAATTTACATGGAAATATCACTAAAAATACAAAGGGTTGAAAGGAAATGTTAAATTTTGAGATTAAAGGAAGGAAGGAAGGAAGGAAGGAAGGAAGGAAGGAAGGAAGGAAGGAAGGAAGGAAGGAAGAGAGGAAGGGAGGAAGGAAGGAAGGAAGGAAAAAAATTCTGGGGGCACTTTTCTTCTATTCTCCTTATTTTCTTCTTCTTTTCCCCAAAATCTGCAGGCATAGCCAACTGCCTACGCTGTTTACTTGGTAAATCCAGGGATGCAGAATTTTCCAAGATTTTAGATTTGGCGGCAACCCTAATATTAGTGACAGCCGAATCCGAAAAAAATTTTAAACAGAGATTTTCGTCAGGATTTACGGCGTTTAAATGGCAGATATTTTCCCGGGACATGACTTATCCATTCAATGGGTTTTGACTTTTCAGGTGCGGACCCGAACATCCGGGACTACAGCGGACGGAAACCGCGGCAGTACCAGACGAACCAGGACACGGCCGTCTCCGCGGACACATTCAGGAGTGAGTACAACCACCCCACGAGCATGCGCAGACCGGGCATCCCCAAGTCGCCCTCCATCCTCCTCACCCCCTCCATCCTCCTCACCCCCTCCCCAGAGGAGACTCCAGCCAAATCCAAAACCAAGATTAGATCCAGCGGTTCCTTTAAAAAACGCGCCGAATTCCTCTTTCGAGGCCCCCGATCAAGCCCCGGCCCGTCCCCGCTTCCTAAGCCCAAAAAACTCTAAATGGACCAATAGACAAGGTACGAATGGACCACTAGACAAGGTACGAATTCAAGCATTCTGATACATGTTTTTTAACCAAAATTTCACGTAGAACACAATGCGCACGACAAAAATTACCGAACTCAACTCCTTACAAAGATATTCAATGATTCCTGATGCGTGAATTCAAACCACCCGCTCAGTAAAACTCAATGCTCTACGTGATTCACATCGCGCGCTGAACATGATCATGACAGTCTCTGCGATATAAAAATCTGACAACCTCAATTTTGACGCTTTGGCTCAGCTATAGCAAATTGCTTATAATTTGAACAACACATGGTGGGAAATGAACAGTGCTCGATTGAGAGGCTTGCTGAAACTGTTGTAGTGCGCGATTTGACTCACGTAGAGCTTTGAGTTTCTTGTGAGCGGGCAGTTCAAAATCCGCGTAACCAATGTGAAATAAAAAGGTTAATATCTTCGTCAGGAGTTGGTTTCAGTAATTTTCGTTGCGCGAATCGTGTTCTACGTGAAATTCTGGTTAAGAAACATTTATCAGAATGCTTGAATTCGTGCCTTGTCTATTGGTCCATTTAAGCATTCTGATAGATGTATCTTAACCAGAATTTCACGTAGAACACGATTCGCGCGACGAAAATTACTGAAACCAACTCCTAATGAAGCTATTAACATTTGTATTTCACATTGGCTACGAGGAATTTGAACTGCCCGCTCACAAGAAACTCAAAGCTCTACGTGAGTCAAATCGCGCACTATAACGGTTTCAGCAAGCTTCTCAATCGAGCAATGTTCATTTCCCACCGTGTGTGGTTCAAACCACAAGAAATGTGCTATAACTGAGCCAAACCGTCAAGATTGAGGTTTTCAGATTTTTATATCGCAGAGACTATAATGATAAACGTTTAGCGCGAAATGTGAATCACGTAGAGCATTGAGTTTTCATGAGCGGGTGGTTTGAATTCACGCATCAAGAATCATTAAAAGTCTTCGTAAGGAGTTGATTTCGGTAATCTTCGTTGTGCGCATCGCATTTTACGTGAAATTTTGGTCAAGAAACATGTATAAGAATGCTGAAATTCGTACCTTGTCTAGTGGTCCACTTTACCAGGTTGCTCAGGGTTGCCTTAGGCAGGGAATACCGGGAAATGTCAGGGAATTTTAAATAGTCAGGGAAAACCTGGAGATATCAGGGAATTTTAAAAAGTCAGGGAAAACCATGAAATGTTGGGGAAAATGACGAAATTGTCAGTGGAAAATTGTTTGGTCGCCTTCATTCGATTTCCAGAATGGGCTTAACGTTCCGAACAACACATTTTCCCTGCAAACTATTTATAATCGTGTCTTTTTAACCAGCCGGTTTGACCTCAATCGTCAGGGAATTGTAGCAAATTGCGCTTGGAAAATCAGCGAAATGTCAGGGAAATTCATAGTCTAAAGTCTCTCCTTGGGGGAACAACGTCCGAAATCACCATTGTCCAATGATAAGTAATAGGACAAACCTAGGAGATCAGGTACAACAAGCAGGCAAATATTCCTAAATTGTCATGAACCCTGATGAAAAAGAAAAACATAACAATATATCAAAGTTTTCTGTTATCATTTGCTCTGGCAAATTGTCCACGATAGTTATTAAACTACGACCCATTGTCCATTAGTATGTGGGAGTGTTTTTAAACCAGTGTCAGTGAACCATTTAGATCCCATCTGAAAGAAAACCTCACCAAAAGCAGCATGATCGACCGCACCTGCCTATGACATTCGGATCCCAACCCTGAGTATTGTAGGGTAGTATTCGTATATTCGTCCCTTAAACAGCTCTTTCCGTAGGAAGGCCCCTTAATTGCGGACGTATTTATGCCAAAAGGAACTGTGTGCATCGGGTTTGCCTGCAACAGTGCAACATAGTTCCTTTTAGCATAAAGACGTCCAATTGTGGTTAAAATTAGGTTGAGGAAACCTTGAATGTAGCATCATAGGAAGCATGATTTCTGCGAACCTTGAATAAGATTCAGCANCGGGAAAGCTTATACACAAATTTAGGCTTGGAAAAATCGACTTTACCGGAAAATTGGGGGGTGATGGAAAAAAACCGAGGTCATATTCGGACTCAGCGGCACAAAATACATCGGATTAGCCGTTTCTCGTACCGGAGAAAAATTTTACCTACATTCTGCAGGGGGTAATAGTCGCACAAACACCAAAAATGGCCATTTTCCGGAAAACTGGAGGGTGATGGGAAAAAACGGAGGTCATATTCGTATTCAGCGCCTCAAAATACACTAGGATCACCTTATCTCGTCCGGGAGACATTTTTGTCATTTTTTTTTGTTGCACAGTGATCTGCGATGATCAGGATCAGGGCTATAGCGAATAATCGGAGATCAAGGAGAACCGAAAACTCTGAAGGAAGCATTTCTCACAAAATGAAATTACAGATGGGTCTCAATTATCCGCGATGGTTAGGATCAGGGCTACCGCGGATAATCGAAGATCAAGAAGAACCGAAAACTCGATCAATTTTGCAGTAGCGTCAAAGCTCTGAAAGAAGCATTTCTCACAAAATGAAATTACAGATGGGTCTCATTATCCGCAATGGTCAGGATCAGGGCTATCGCGAATAATCGGAGATCAAGGAGAACCGAAACTCGATCATTTTTTCAGTAGCGTCAAAGCTCTGAAAGAAGCATTTCTCACAAAATGAAATAACAGATGGGTCTCGATTATCCGCGGTGGTTAGGATCAGGGCTATCGCGGATAATCGAAGATCAAGGAGAACCGAAAACTCGATCATTTTTGCAGTAGCGTCATGGCTCTGAAAGAAGTATTTCTCACAAAATGAAATTACAGATGGGTCTCGATTATCCGCGATGGTTAGGATCAGGGCTACCGCGGATAATCGAAGATCAAGGAGAACCAAAAACTAGATCATTTTTGCAGTAGCGTCAAAGCTCTGAAAGAGGCATTTTTCACAATGAAATTACAGCTGGGTCTCGATTATCCGTGGTGATTGAGTCCGGGGCACCTGCGGGTAATTCGAAACCTACCCATTTGGTAAAGAAAAGTGATCGAAAAGGTTTCATTTTAAAAGACTATCGAACCACTTGTCAGGCCTTAGACAGGAACGTAAGTACAAAAAAAAAAGAAAAAAATGTTGAAAAAATGAAAATGCATAAATTTTACTTTATGAGAAGTTACTTTTGCCAAAATCAGCCATGTAATAAATTTGTATTAGAGGCTTGTGCCTTGAGCCTCCGGGCCAAAAACCGTGGATAATCCAAATCGCGGATAGTCGCGACTCTACCATGTCTTTTGCTCTGAAATGTTTACCAATAGTCATTCTGGAGTTGGTAAGCAGGCAGGTCTCAGAGATCGTTTTAGCTTTTTTAGATTCTTACACCATTAAAATGCTTTAACTTTTTCATTCTCCACGGAAAAGTGTATTTTTGCTGACTTCGAGTCTTTTCAAGAAGATCTACTGTTTAAAAAAAACACTTTGCCTTTCAAAATGTTACGCTCATGTTTCTTTAATCCTTTTGTTCCATGTTTTTTCACCTTCGTCCGACTTCTTAACGGCACCTGGCAACAATTGAATAACCTGCAGAATGGGGTAAGTTCACGCATAATTATTCAAATAATCCTCTTTTTTTCTTGGTTTTTCAGGTTCTTGTTGAAAGATGATTCAAGTTTCAAAGTCATCAGGGCGAGTAATCCGTAAGTCGATTCCGGCGTCTTTTTAGGTTCTCCGGGAAATTTTAGGGTGTCACCTGAAAAATTCCACGGACTTCCGTGCACTGTAATCTTTGTTACGTTAAAGGTCAGAATGGTTAAATACGCTTCGGGTGGCTTCAGTTAAATAAATTAAGCTGTTTCATTTGTCACCTCACCAGCATTTAAGACGCTCTTTGAAACTTTTTTGATGTGGAGATGACGACTGTCATTTTCTTAACATTTTCTCAAGTATAAGTATCGCGATGCTCTCTAGGAAGTTGAGAACCCCGGTGATTTCAATTCATGTCTGAAATTTCTGGCACTAGAAGAACATTTTTCAGAATTCAGAATGTTTAAAACCCTAAAAAGTGTTGCTACAGCTTGTTTTTCTTCTCAAATGCTCACCCTCTACTCGCGATGCTTTACTCGAATGGGTCGGAAAAAAATCTGTGGCATAAAGCAGAAATTTTGGTTCTCTAGTCTGTGCCATTTAAAAGAGAAGTCCAGTAAAAATGTTTGAAGTTTCAGATCCATGCCAAAGCGTCTTTTAAAATTGGTGATAGCTATGAGAATGATGAGTCCTCTATATACTTCATCAACTTTCGCCAGGAAAAAGATTTTTCACTCTGACGAATCTTCTAATTTTATTGCCGGAAATGATAAACGATTTGAAAATATGTGTGTGAAATGCTGTGCGATAAGTAGTGACAGTTACGCACAATTATGTTATTTGACGCAAATCCATTGCAACTTCTCTAGAATGAATAAATCTCAATTAGAAGTCAACACGAGACTTATCATTTTTCAACAAAATTTCTCACTTTGGCGATGTCATTTCTAACATTGTTTGACTGTTTTTGAAAGTGCACCCTCTCCTATTTCCTTTTGGTACTACAGGTTCCTGGAAGTTCTATAACTTTAAATTGTATTTTTACTTCTCTCCTTAACACTATTAAACTCTATTTTTATCAAATTACCTTGTTTTGGTTTGTTTCAGGGCTACACTCCTTTGCACATTGCAATGCAGTTTGGCAATGAAGATATTTTTAATCTACTAGTGCAAGTATACGGTGAGTATATTGTTAAAATTATATCAGTGATTTTAATCAGCTTGAAAGCTTTTTGTGATTTTTAGAGACTTACAAATGTTTAAAATTGTTGTCGTTTCGACTTCGACGAAGGAAGGGAGGAAGGAAGGAAGGAAGGTAGGAAGGAAGGTAGTAGTAGTAATATAATTTTATTTTAAAGCGGTGCTTTAGCATTTAAGGCCATTTACACCTCTGAAGAAGGCAGTAATAGTAATAAATTTACATGGAAATTAAGGTTACATCAGTAAAAATACAAAAGGGTTGAGGGGAAAGGTTAAATTTTGAGATTAGTGGAGCGCATAAATTCAAAAAGTCTTACAGGATGAAGGAAGGAAGGAAAACAATTCTGGGGGCACTTTCTATTCTCTTCTATTCTCCTTATTTTCTTCTTCTTCTTTTCCCCAAAATTTGCAGGCATAGCCAACTGCCTACGCTATTTACTTGGTAAATCCAGGGATGCAGAATTTCCAAGATTTTAGACTTGGCGGCAACCCTAATATTAGTGACAGCCGACTCCGGAAAAATTGTTGAGCAGAGATTTTCGTCAGGATTTACGGCGTTTTAATGGCAGATATTTTCCCGGGACATGACTTATCCATTTAATGGGTTTTGACTTTTCAGGTGCGGACCCGAACATCCGGGACTACAGCGGACGGAAACCACGGCAGTACCAGACGAACCAGGACACAGCCGTCTCCGCAGACACATTCAGGAGTGAGTACAACCACCCCACGAGCATGCGTAGACCGGGCATCCCCAAGTCGCCCTCCATCCTTCTCGCCCCCTCCATCCTCCTCACCCCCTCCCCAGAGGAGACTCCAGCCAAATCCAAAACCAAGATTAGATCCAGCGGTTCCTTTAAAAAACGCGCCGAATTCCTCTTTCGAGGCCCCCGATCAAGCCCCGGCCCGTCCCCGCTTCCTAAGCCCAAAAAACTCTAAATGTACTACATTTTGAAATTAGGAACTGTAAATTCCGGCCCGGTTTAAAAACAACGTATGTGTCATTAATTTTCCTATGCACAAAAGTGTTTTTTCAGATGAGCCAGAATTTATAGGTCCAAATTGCAAAATGCAGTCCAAATGGACCAATAGACAAGGTACGAATTTAAGCATTCTGATAGATGTATCTTAACCAGAATTCCACGTAGAACACGATTCGCGCAACGAAAATTACTGAAACCAACTCCTAATGAAGCTATTAACATTTGTATTTCACATTGGCTACGAGGAATTTGAACTGCCCGCTCACAAGAAACTCAAAGCTCTACGTGAGTCAAATCGCGCACTATAACGGTTTCAGCAAGCTTCTCAATCGAACAATGTTCATTTCCCACCATGTTTAGTTCAAACCACAAGCAATTTGCTATAGCTGAGCCAAACCGTCAAGATTGAGGTTTTCAGATTTTTATACCGCAGAGACTATGATGATAACGTTTAGCGCGCGATGTGAATCACGTAGAGCATTAAGTTTTCTTGAGCGGGTGGTTTGAATTCACGCATCAAGAATCATTAAAAGTCTTCGTAAGGAGTTGATTTCCGTAATCTTCGTTGTGCGCATCGCATTTTACGTGAAATTTTGGTCAAGAAACATGTATAAGAATGCTGAAATTCGTACCTTGTCTAGTGGTCCACTTTACCAGGTTGCTCAGGGTTGCCATAGGCAGGGAATACCGGGAAGTGTCAGGGAATTTTAAATAGTCAGGGAAAACCTGGAGATATCAGGGAATTTTAAAAAGTCAGGGAAAACCATGAAATGTTGGGGAAAATGACGAAATTGTCAGGGGAAAATTGTTTGGTCGCCTTCATTCGATTTCCCGAATGGGCTTGCTGTTTCGAACAACACATTTTGCCTGCAAACTATTTCTAATCGTGTCTTTTTAACCAGCTGGTTTGACCTCAATCGTCAGGGAATTTTAGCAAATTGCGCTCGGGAATGAGGGAAATGTCAGGGAAATTCATCGTCTAAAGTCACTCCTTGGAGGAACAACTTCCGAAATCGCCATTGTCCAATGATAAATAATCTATACTATAAGCTCCGAGACCTCCTAATTTTGCGTAACTGGTGACGCTTAGTTCCAGCCTTCTACCGGGCCGATTTTCATGATTTTTGCGGCAATCGACGGGCAATTGTCTCTAGATTAGCCAACTCTTTTCAGATTTTCAAAATATGAACCAGGTTTTTGTATATTACGTGGTAAAGTTGCGAATTCTCCCATTTAAACAATGTAAATTTATAATTTTTGTCATAGTTCGTTTGAGCGTTCTACCGGGCCGATTTCCATGATTTTTGCGTAGATCGTCAGGTAATTGGCCCTAGATGAGCCCGCTTTAATTAGATTTTGGAAATAGGACCCAGGTTTTTTTAAAATCACGTTATAAAAGTGAGTAAATTTACAGAATGCTCCGGGACTGCTACCGCTATGCGCGGGAGGATGCGCAGTGGTCGAAGAGGTTGCGCAGTGGATGTGTAGCCTGCGCATCAACTCTACACTTATCTACACAAGATTCGCTCCAATGACCTAACGTCGACCGGTGGCCGAGTCGTCTAAGACGTCGAAAGCGTCCATTCTCAACTCGGTGTGGGTTCGATCCCCGACTTACATATTCTAAATTATTACCCCTTATCATTGTTCATTGTTTTACTGCAATATTTCATCAAACAGTCATTCCAAAACGCGTCCTTTTAATTTTAAAGTAATTTTAGGTGAAGTTTAAAATTAAAGTGTATCTCATATCGTAATTTTTTAGGGGGAAAATAAAACTAAAACTGATAGAATAGGGCCGCGAAGCGGCCCATTGATGGCGCGGAGCGCCTTCGGGGGGTTGGGCCGCGTAGCGGCCAGGGGGCGTAGCCCCCTAGTATAGGACTAAACTCGGAGATCAGGTACAACAAGCAGACAAATATTCCAAAATTGTCATGAATCCTGACAAAAAAGAAAAACATAACAATATATCAAAGTTTTCTGTTATCATATGCTCTGGCAAATTGTCCACGATAGTTATTAAACTACGACCCATTGTCCATTAGTATGTGGGAGTGTTTTTAAACCAGTGTCAGTGAACCATTTAGGTCCCATCTGAAAGAAAACCTCACCAAAAGCAGCATGATCGACCGCACCTGCCAATGGCATTCGGATCCCAACCCTGAGTATTGTAGGGTAGTATTCGTATACTCGTCCCTTAAACAGCTCTCTCCGTAGGAAGGCCCCTTAATCGGACGTATTTATGCCAAAAGGAACTACATATGTGCATTGGGTTTGCGTGCAACATACATTGGCGGATACAGCAAATTGGCAACATTGTTTTTCTCCATTTAAACTTATGGGAATGTATCGATTCTTGGAGGGGCCAGGTGCTCCGACAATAATCGATTATTTAGCATGGGTTTAAATGGAGGAATCCGGTGTTGCCAAATTGCTGGATCCCCCTCTGGCAACATAGTTCCTTTCAGCGTAAATACGTCCAATTGTGATTCTCATTATGATTAAAATTAGGTTAAGGAAACTTGGAATGTATAGCATCATAGGAAGCATGATTTCTGTGAACCTTGAATAAGATTCAGCAGTATAACTTAGGAAATGGATATTTGTAATGGACTGCAATCATATCCCGCTGCAAAAAATTCAAAATACGGATGAAAATATATCGCGAATTCTTCGAAGTACAAAGTAGGTGTGTACTTACTTTAAATTTTGTTGAAATCATAGAATTTTTTTTCCTACACTGAAAAAAAAAAATCCGGCCCTGGAAGCCGTACTTACGGGCTATGTACATCCGCGTTCCGGGTTCAGAGACCGGAAGTTCTGGGCGTAGCACCCGGAGCAAGCGCAGCTACGGCTCCAGCACCCGAAACTTTCGGCCTCTGAGTCCGGAACGGACGGTTTGTCTATACATATAGCCCGTAAGTTTTTTTTTTTTTTTTTTTTTTTTTTTTTTTTTTTTTCCCCAGTGTACTTTGCAATTTTTGCAGTGGCGATCGATTGTAATCCCTTGCGAGGATCTATTTCCGGAGTTACACTACTTATTACTCACGTTTGGGATACTCGTCCTTTCTATAAAGTCGTATTCAAGGGTCCCTAACTTTACTTTATTCACAACGTAAGCTGTAAGGAACCTCCCGAAGGTAAAGAGCTGTTCAATGAACAACTACCTATGAATACGGCCCACGGCCTTTTATCTTTCTCTCAATATTTATTTCACAAAATTGCTCGTTCCGCCCACAATACTGCAATAACCACAACCTTTTACGACCACGTGCACTTCCTTTACCTACGTTTTATTTTTTTGTTTTTATTGAATATGATTATTTTACTCTTCTGAAGCCTTTGCTTTGTCATGTGCATTTTATTTATTAATATATTGTCAGAGAAATTTTCATCATGATCTCAAATCACGCCGTATTTCTGCAAAATCGTATTGTATTCATTTTATTGTTATAGATATATTTTAATTTGATGCGCTTTTAAATTCAAACTAGTCTGCCGCTCTGTAAATAATGCCAAAGTCTCTACATTTCTTCATTATTATAATCTCAATTTTATCTTATATTCATTCCATTTTCTATTGGTACCAAAACTAGTGTAAGATTCCTGGCTTTTAAACCGCTGTCGTCAATAGAATATCACGAGACTCTAAACGCATCTTAGTTTCTGTTTTCAGCTCTTCTTATTTTATAATGAAAACTGTCAATAAAGGTACTTTGATTCATCCAGTAATGAAATGTTTTACCCGTTTAAAATTTTTCCGCTCGGTTTGGTCCGCGAATGGTGCCGCATAGCCACTATTTTTTTCTCGAAATCGTTGAAAGTTCATTTGCATGAGATTTATTTATCATAAGCGGGCAACTGTTGCTCAAATGTAGTTAATTGACCACGTTGCAATTTCTTCGTAGTTCCTGTATCTATTTTCGACTTCTTATTTTTTTTCTGTGTTATTGAAGTGCGTGAGATAAATCCATCGAAATAGAGGTATGATTGATTGGTGAAGGTTTTTCAGGTAGAGTATACCTATATTAAGAGAGTATGGCCACTGGAGTTACCACCTCTGATTGGCTCAGCCATCTTAGGCTGAATGGAGCCCTTAGGACCCAAAAATGGCGGACGCCATAAAGTTAATGTAATGCAAAATGATTCAAAATGTAGTTGTCTTCGCTTATCGTAACGAGAACTTTACCCAAATGCACTATTGCGACTTTTTTACATATTTTTAAGGCTAATCGTGTGCAATTTTTGAGAAAAATGATCTTAGATGTAGTAAGGTTGGCAGCAAGTGCGGTTGGTGATAACCGTCAAAAGTTGGCAATGACCCCCCTCCCATCCTCAAAAACCAAAACAAAGCACCGCCATTTTTGGGTCCTAAGCCTCTCCATGGGACCCAGTGGCCGTACTCTCTTAATATAGGTACTCTATTTTCAGGTATCGACATTTTTAAGCCAAATCGCATCGTTAGTCACTCATATTCATACAGTTTAACTCAAAATTACTTTTTGAGAAAGACTCGAGAAGATGCACAAAAGCCAGTCGTCTAATCCAGGCAGATTTAGGTCACTATCTCTCTCACCAAAGCGGTTCAGTGGTGCGCTCAACGATAACCAAACGATTTTTTCCCATTCCAATGCGCATGTGCCATACCGAAAGGATCGCCACATCTCTATTCAAAAGATGAAACTGATATGGACTACATTTTGCAATTTGGAACTAAAAATTCCAGCCCGGTTTAAAAACAACGTATGTGCCATTAGTTTCCCTATGCACATACGTGTTTTTCCAGAAGAGCCAGAATTTATAGTTCCAAATTGGAAAATGCAGTCCGCATGTGTGCTAAGCCGTAATGAGGACTCCTCCACAATTCGATGGAGGTTTTTTTAGCGATGTTTGCAAGTTTATAAGTGATGCTTCTCCATTTAGCAAATTCCAATTTACCGCCCCTAGCTCAAATTTCGATTAAGAATAACATAATGACTTCTCAAAGAAAACGGAAAATGCCAATGACTGAAAATTTTATCCTCTCTGTTACTTGAATTAA